CCTATATCCATCCTGCCCTGCCTTTCAAAAGTATTTGAAAGCCAAGTTAACAAACAGATCACCCACCATTTAGAATCTCACCGTACCTTCTCCGCTATGCAATTTGGTTTCCGAGCTGGTGATGGGTGTACCTCAGCCACGCTCAAGGTCCTAAACGATATAATAACCGCGATCGATAAAAGACAGTACTGTGCAGCCGTCTTCATTGACCTGGCCAAGGCTTTTGACTCTGTCAATCACAGCATTCTTATTGGCAGACTAAATAGCCTTGGTTTCTCAAATGACTGCCTCGCCTGGTTCACCAACTACTTCTCAGATAGAGTTCAGTGTGTCAAATCGGAGGGCCTGTTGTCTGGACCTCTGGCAGTCTCTATGGGGGTGCCACAGGGTTCAATTCTCGGGCCGACTCTATTCTCTGTGTATATCAATGATGTTGCTCTTGCTGCTGGTGACTCTCAGGTCCACCTCTACGCAGATGACACCATTTTGTATACATCTGGCCCTTCATTGGACACTGTGTTAACAAACCTCCAAATGAGCTTCAATGCCATACAACACTCCTTCCGTGGCCTCCAACTGCTCTTAAACGCTAGTAAAACTAAATGCATGCTCTTCAATCGAACGCTGCTTGCACCCGCCTGCCCGACTAGAATCAGTACTCTCGGCGGCTTAGAATATGTGGACAACTACAAATACCTAGGTGTCTGGTTAGACTGTAAACTCTCCTTCCAGACTCACATTAAGCATCTCCAATCCAAAGTTAAATCTAGAATCGGCTTCCTATTTCGCAACAAAGCCTCCTTCACTCATGCTGCTAAACATGCCCTCGTAAAACTGACTATCCTACCGATCCTTGACTTCGGCGATGTCATTTACAAAATAGCTTCCAACACTCTACTCAGCAAATTGGATGTAGTCTATCACAGTGCCATCCGTTTTGTCACCAAAGCCCCATATACTACCCACCATTGTGACCTGTACACTCTCGTTGGCTGGCCCTCACTACATATTCGTCGCCAAACCCACTGGCTCCAGGTCATCTATAAATCCCTTCTAGGCAAATCCCCTATCTTAGCTCATTGGTCACCATAGCAACACCCACCCGTAGTATGCGTTCCAGCAGGTATATCTCACTGGTCATCCCCAAAGCCAACACCTCCTTTGGTCGCCATTCCTTCCAGTTCTCTGCTGCAAATGACTGGAACGAACTGCAAAAATCTCTGAAGCTGGAGACACTTATCTCCCTCACTATCTTTAAGCATCAGTTGTCAGAGCAGCTTACCGATCACTGCACCTGTACACAACCCATCTGTAATTAGCCCACCCAACTACCTCATCCCCATATTGTTATTTACATTGTTATTTATTTTGCTCATTTGCACCCCAGTATCTCTATTTGCACATCATCTTCTGCACATCTATCACTCCAGTGTTAATACCAAATTAAAATTGTAATTATTTTGCACTATGGCCTATTTATTGCCTTACCTCCATAACTTACTACATTTGCACACACTGTATATAGATTTTCTATTTTCTATTGTGTTATTGACTGTACGTTTTTGTTTATTCCATATGTAACTCTGTGTTGTTGTTGTTTTTTCCGCACTGCTTTGCTTTATCTTGGCCAGGTCGCAGTTGTAAATGAGAACTTGTTCTCAACTGGCTTACCTGGTTAAATAAAGGTGAAATTAAAATAAAATACATCAGACACCATTCCAGAGTGCTTGAAAAATATGTCTTTCATTCTGCTCGAGAAACTGTGGGCATCTTCCCCCTCAGTCATAAAACAGGATGTCATTTTGGTCCAAGCTACCTGGTTAGGGTAGCGGTGTAACGCTAGTGCTTTTAGCACTTCTATTTGCTCTGGTGGGGTCTCCAAATCAGTGTCCCTAGCCAATTGGGTCCAGCAAACTAAATGTACAACATCTCCAGTGGTGCGTGAATAAACGTTTACAGTGTTTGTACTTCGATAAGCTGGAGGAGGAGGAGGAGGTGGAGGAAAATCTGAGGGACATTTTAGGTGTTCCAGTGGAGGAAGCAAAACCACTAGTGGTGGGGGTTGAGGCTGTTAGGGGGAGCTGAGGGAGGAGTCGGTTCATCTGCCCCTTGTGGCTTTTTCCTTGATTTAATTATTGACGAAGGAAATGATTAACGTGGCGATGATATTTCCCAGACCCTTTAGACAGTCATACAATGCTTTAATCTTATCTTTATCAAATTATCCGCAAAGGCACCACTCTGAACATTTCTTACAATACTTTTTACACCACTTACGTACACTTCACACCCTGATCTGTTTCACCTGTCTTGTGCTTGTCTCCACCCCACACCAGGTGTCTCCCATTTGTTCCCATTATCCCCTGTGTATTTATACCTGCGTTTCCTGTTTGTCTGTTGCCAGTTTGTCTTGTCAAGCATACCAGCGTGGTTTTCCCCATACCCCCGTTTCCGCTCTAGCCCCCGTTTTCTAGTTTTTCCGGTTTTGACCACTCTGCCTGCCCTGACCCTGAGCCCGCCTGCCGTTCTGTACCTGTCTGACACTGCCCTGGATTACCGACCTCTGCCTGCCCTCGACCTGTCGTCTGCCTGCCCCCTGTTTAATTAATAAACATCTGTGATTGGAAATGTCTGCACCTGGGTCTTCTCCTGAGTTCTGAAAGTAAGTTTACGTGTGGTTGAGTAAGTTATATTTTTCCCACTGTATCAGCTCCTTCTAATTGTATTTTTAGTCCCGTTTTAGTACACCAAATATCTATTAACCCATAATACACACATACAATTTCCTTTCTCTTTACCCAACTACGTCTCCCAACTGACACAATTCTACTCGACCACTGGTCTATCACTTCACCTCTATACTCCGCCTGTCCTATCACCAACCAAGCTATCACAGTCACATTCCTGCAATTACCTTCCTTTCTCCTCATGTCAGCAAACCAACTTCTACTCCCATTTTAGTCAAAACTATGTATAATCAATTGTAGGCCAACCAATTCCTACCGATGCATATTACGACTATATTTCCTTTCTTGTAGGCTATGCAATTCCTGCTTGTAGGCTATCCAATTCCTGCTTGTAGGCTATCCAATTCCTACTTACAGGCTATCCAATTCCTGCTGGTAATCTATCCAATTCTTACTTGTAGGCTATCCAATTCCTGCTTGTAGGCTATCCAATTCCTACTTGCAGGCTATCCAATTCCTGCTTGTAGGCTATCCAATTCCTGCTTGTAGGCTATCCAATTCCTGCTTGTAGGCTATCCAATTCCTGCTTGTAGGCTATCCAATTCCTGCTTGTAGGCTATCCAATTCCTGCTGGTAATCTATCCAATTCCTGCTGGTAATCTATCCAATTCTTACTTGTAGGCTATCCAATTCGTGCTGTAGGCTATCCAATTCCTGCTAATATACTGTTCCAACAGTGTATTTCACGTGATTGTAGGTAAACCAATCCCTGCTATTGGAGACACCACTGTGCTCCCATTGGTCAATGTTAACCGGCCAAATTGAACACCAACATTTTGTGGATGAGGAGGGCAAGAGATATTTTACAATTAAGGCTCGGCTGGAAGATTTTTGAATAAGGTCTCTTACCTTCTTAGTTGTGGCCAGAGGGATGTCTGGGTCCAAGCCGAGCAAAACGGATCAAAAAGTCAGGTCATTCTCATCCGGGTCAAAGTACCAAATGTTGTGGAAAACTTGATCCAAAGATTTAGGCAGAGACTCATTTAAAGTATAATAGTGAATATTCAATATAAGCAGGTAGATCTGTATCTGGTCACAGTCAGGGAAGGAACTCTCTGGTGAGATGGTTACATGTCCCTCAAATAGAAGGGTGATAATACGATCATATTGGTTGCATAAGTTATTTTATACAAGCAGCAGTTCCAGAACACAATGGCCTTGTGTCAGGGTGCAGGCATAACAGGAGTATAATGCAATGTTTCAAAAAGTGACATCACAGCAATAAAGGAATAAATTCACAATCACTGACAAATATTAGGAGAAAAACTAAACACTTCATGGTGATTTAAAGAAAGAACCAAACTGAGACCATTATACTGAAATGCAGTTGTTTTATTGATGTCTAAAGGGAGGACCATGAGATCAGAGTGAGGGGGGGGGCGGGGGGGGGGGGGGGGGGGGGGGGACTAGGTATATTAGTCTATTGTGATTCAGAACACAGTTTAGAGCTGTGTCTGGGGACCCAAAGGGGAGCACGTTTTAGTTTTTGCACTATCACTACACTAAAACACTAGATTCAACTAATCAACTCATCATCAAGCCTTTAGTTGAGTCAGGTGTGTTAGTGCTAGGGGACAAAAGTAACTATGTGCACCCCCAGGTCCCCAGGACCAGGATTGGGAAACACTGGTGTAGAGGGTGTTTGGAATTAGAGTGAGGTCAGAGTTTTGACAGGTTGTTGTGGATAAGAGGAGAGGCTTTGGTCTAGGCTTGGGGCTCTCAGGTGGAGTAGTACAGGGTCTACTGTAGGGGCTCTAGGGTATAGGAGTGGTACAGGGTCTACTGTAGAGGCTCTAGGGTGTAGGAGTAGTACAGGGTCTACTGTAGAGGCTCTAGGGTGTAGGAGTAGTACAGGGTCTACTGTAGAGGCTCTAGGGTGTAGGAGTAGTACAGGGTCTATTGTAGGGGCTCTAGGGTATAGGAGTGGTACAGGGTCTACTGTAGAGGCTCTAGGGTGTAGGAGTAGTACAGGGTCTACTGTAGAGGCTCTAGGGTGTAGGAGTAGTACAGGGTCTACTGTAGGGGCTCTAGGGTATAGGAGTGGTACAGGGTCTACTGTAGAGGCATTGGGGAGTAGGAGTAGTACAGGGTCTACTGTAGAGGCTCTAGGGTGTAGGAGTAGTACAGGGTCTACTGTAGAGGCTCTAGGGTATAGGAGTGGTACAGGGTCTACTGTAGAGGCTCTAGGGTGTAGGAGTAGTACAGGGTCTAGTATAGAGGCTCTAGGATGTAGGAGTAGTATAGGGTCTACTGTAGAGGCTCTAGGGTGTAGGAGTAGTACAGGGACCCTCCTTTCTTCAGGAAACATTGATGCTGCCAAGTTCCGTTCTTGATGGAGCGCTCACAGGTCCCCAGCAGGTCGTCGAAGACCACGTCGGAGTCGTACACCTCCAGCCTCAGGGGGTCGTTCTCACGGGCGTTGAAGAAGTTGAAGTCCTCCTTCCACCAGGGGTCATGGTTGTTGTTCTTTACCTCTGTCTTCCCACCATAGCCGGAGCCCATAAACACCTGAATTATAATAATGATAATACACATCCTCATCATCCTCATCATTAATAGATTAGATGTATAAAGCCCCCCCTCCCCAGATGCTCATAGTAAAGGGGGGAAGGGGGACTCACCATCTAATCTCCACTAATGTATAGCACTAGCACCTGGCTATTTTGCACCAGACAGATCACCGTACATCATCTATCATGGTGGACAGGTGACTCAGGTGAGGAGAGATTTACCTTGACGTAGGCATCAGGGGTCTGGAACAAGCCGCTGTTCAGGTCGCTGGCACGGAGGTTGAAGACCTTGAGAACCTTACGTTTCTCTGCTGCATAGATCTGGACCACAGTCAGAACACACACCACCAGCAGGCAGCACAGAAGAGAGGAGGAGGACATGGCTCTCAGTTAGATAGGGCTTGATCCGTGGAGGGAAGACAACTAGGAGGGGGGGGGGGCAGAGCAAAAGAGAGAAGAGAGACAGAGAGAGAGAGAGAGAGAAGAGAGGCAGAGAGAGAGATAGAAGAGAGGCAGAGAGAGAGAGAGAGAAGAGAGGCAGAGAGAGAGAATGTGAGAGAGCGAGAAAAGATAAATAAAAAACTTAAAGAGAACATAAGAGCTCGTCACAGAGCATAAACCGTTTTCAAACAGTGAAGATACGCACATAACAATGTATATCCATTTCAAGGTCTCGATCAATTTAGGAATTACAACTAGGAGAGAAAAGGAGAGAATGCACAAGTCAGAGAGGAAGAGAGAGAGAGAAGCCAAGATACTTCTGAGAAAAACCAACCAAATACAGACAAAGAAAAGACTACAGAGACAGTGAGAGATAGAAAGAGAGTTTGGCTGTCCTTTACCTCAGCCTTGTAGCCTTTGAATGTTGTACGTTCTACCCCTGTAAACATAACATACTGTACACTTGCCTCAGCCCCCTCCCCTCTAAAGGTGATAGCAGCATACATATGGTCAGTTCTCAAGCATCGTCTCAGCCAATGAGCGTCCACGGTGCTGCCTATGAGACGGTAACACCCTATACTACATGGCAAGCAGGGGTTTGAACTGAAATCCTTAGTTGCTTCCCAAAAGAAACTCTATTCCCAAAATAGCACTATAGGCCATGGTCAAAAGTAGAGCAATATATAGGGAATATGGTGGAATTTGGGACAAAGCCCTGGTTAACAGAGGTAGAAATGGTCTCATTACATAATCAAAGGTAGGTTAGGGTACGCCTGTGAGAAAAGGCTTTCCTCCAACAGGTGGGTGACAACAGGGGCCAACGATGTTGTCAACATCAGTACTTGGCAGACTAAATAGCCTTGGTTTCTCAAATGACTGCCTCGCCTGGTTCACCAACTACTTCTCAGATAGAGTTCAATGTGTCAAATCGGAGGGCCTGTTGTCTGGACCTCTGGCAGTCTCTATGGGGGTGCCACAGGGTTCAATTCTCTGGCCGACTCTATTCTCTGTGTATATCAATGATGTTGCTCATGCTGCTGGTGACTCTCAGATCCACCTCTACACAGACGACACCATTTTGTACACATCTGGCCCTTCATTGGACACTGTGTTAACAAACCTCTAAAATGAGCTTCAATGCCATACAACACTCCTTCCGTGGCCTCCAACTGTTCTTAAACGCTAGTAAAACTAAATGCATGCTCTTCAATCGAACGCTGCTTGCACCCGCCTGCCCGACTAGAATCAGTACTCTCGGCGGCTCTGACTTAGAATATGTGGACAGCTACAAATACCTAGGTGTCTGGTTAGACTGTAAACTCTCCTTCCAGACTCACATTAAGCATCTCCAATCCAAAGTTAAATCTAGAATCGGCTTCCTATTTCGCAACAAAGCCTCCTTCACTCATGCTGCTAAACATGCCCTCGTAAAACTGACTATCCTACCGATCCTTGACTTCGGCGATGTAATTTACAAAATAGCTTCCAACACTCTACTCAGCAAATTGGATGTAGTCTATCACAGTGCCATCCGTTTTGTCACCAAAGCCCCATATACTACCCATCATTGTGACCTGTACACTCTCGTTGGCTGGCCCTCACTACATATTCGTCGCCAAACCCACTGGCTCCAGGTCATCTATAAATCCCTTCTAGGCAAATCCCTGCCTTATCTTAGCTCATTGGTCACCATAGCAACACCCACCTGTAGTATTTGTTCCAGCAGGTATATCTCACTGGTCATCCCCAAAGCCAACACCTCCTTTGGTCGCCATTCCTTCCAGTTCTCCGCTGCAAATGACTGGAACGAACTGCAAAAATCTCTGAAGCTGCACCCGCTGCACCCGCTGGAGTCACTTATCTCCCTCACTATTTTTAAGCATCAGTTGTCAGAGCAGCTTACCGATCACTGCACCTGTACACAGCCCATCTGTAATTAGCCCACCCAACTACCTCATCCCCAATAAAGGTTAAATAAATAAATAAACTTGTTTATTACCGTTTCCCACTACTGAGTTGAACTGAGCCAAAGCAAGCTGTACAAGGCTGACCTGGTTACGTATCCATCAACGTTTCTGGAGCCGTGTTGGAAAGGACAATGTGAAAAGAAAATATCTGCGCTAGCACGGTTCAGATCGGCATGATAAAGGTTTCCACTCACCACAAAGTCACTGCCATAGAAATATAATTAATAGAACCATTTAAGTCTTCATTGATCTGTGCGATAGCAAACTCTCATGGGATAGCTAAAAACAAGATTTGCTACAATAGACTGTCCTAACAGTCGTAAATGTTACCCAAGGCGACGTCATCCACTGAACCCCCTTTCATCCTTAAAAGAGTCAAGAGTTAATCTAACCAAAAACCATAAACCTGTAGCTAATATCGACCTTCTTGTCTTCATGACATAATTCTACTCTCTGATTAAGATATCTTGTGGTTGTAGAATCAGTATTTATTACATTCGAAATGTGCACGAAAATTAGCTATCTAGCTAGCTTGTCTGCTGGCTGGCTGAACCAGTCTCAAATCAATCCATTTGAAACTACATGGATGCTAAACAAAGGCAGTTCACACACTCAGTGCTGAATACTCCTTCTAGCAGCTTGTGTAGTGAAATGTTTGCTAATAGCAACAAAAAACATTTTTTCATGATACGGCAGTTTCTGTTCTGCCATGATTAGTTCTGCAGCTAGCTCTAGCTGTGACATTATCACGTTGGCCAAATGTAGCTAGCTAAGGAGCGAGGCACAGTGCCAGCTGTCAGACACAAGCCGATTTCTGAGAACAGTCCCATAACACTGGTTGTCACGTTCGTTTACAGACGGGTCAGACCAAGGCGCAGCGTGATATACGTACATGTTTATTTAAATGAATAAACAACCGACAAAACAACAAACCAACGAAACGTGAAATCCAAGGCAACACAACATACCTTAACAAGGAACAAGATCCCACAACCCACTCTTGCCAATAGGCTGCCTAAGTATGGTCCCCAATCAGAGACAACGAGCGACAGCTGCCTCTGATTGGGAACCACACCGGCCAACATAGATCTAGACATACTAGACTGTAAACATATAGATCTACACCACATAGAAAATCACACCCTGACTCAACAAATAAGAGTCCCCAGAGTCAGGGCGTGACAGTAACCCCCCCCCAAAGGTGCGGACTCCGACCGCACAACCTTTACTTAACAGGGTAGGGGCCGGGTGGGCATTCCGCCCTGACTCAACAAATAAGAGTCCCCAGAGTCAGGGCGTGACACTGGTGCTGTACAACTTCATCAACAAGCTGGCAAACTAGCTACCGTAATGGCCATTCAAATAAGCTTTGTCTAGGCTGCTAGTTGGAGCCAGTTTGCTCAGCTCATCGAGCTCATAGAGCATGGTTTGCAGTACTAGCCAGTGCGTCATAGTTATGGAGAGCGCAAGTATAGAGTACCACAGTATGAGTCTATTTTAAGTGTTTCCAAAATCCCCTATGGGAAAAATGAATGATGGAAAAACTATTGGATCCATTTCCCTGTTTGACCGTTAGGTGTCATGGGTATTATGACACCTCCACTGCGGGGCTCTATTGGCTGGAGCCAGAGTGGAAGATGCGAAGCGAGAGAGATAACTGGGCCAAAAATCTGTCTTCTCCAGCAGGTGCATTGTTTTGTTTTTATCGCTCACCAAGCAAGGAGTTTTTTGGTATGGAGGTCAATAAGAGAGTGTCGAATTTTGTTAACAAATAGTTTAATGGCTTATTTGCTACGTGTGGCTTATTTGTTCGAATATAAGTTCCGTAATGCTTAGGTTGTTACCAGTGTACTGATATAAGTAGGACGGACACGTGACTTCCCGGCAACTTGGAGACAAAACACTTCAGAGCCCTGTAATATCCTGCTAGGATATATTATGTTCATTGTGATTACATCTAGCCTATCACAGGCTGCATCATTGGCATAAAAGTATAAAAGTAACGTATGTGCGCTTGATGTAAACTTACGTGACCTTTATGCCAATGATGCAGCATGTGATAGGCTAGACGTAATCACACTGAACATAATATAGAAGTACAGTCATAAGAATACGGTTGAATTCAATGCATACATACCTGTTATATTCGAATGAAGGGAGATGTAATATCCTGCTAGGATATATTATGTTCAGTGTGATTACGTCTAGCCTATCACATGCTGCATCATTGGCATAAAGGTCACGTAAGTTTACGTCAAGCGCACGTACGTTACTTTTGGATCGAGATGGCGAAAATAAACAAGTCAATTCAATATTGGTTGTCTATCCCTTTCCTTTAATTAGACACTACGAGTGACAGTTAAGTGGAAATTTAACATGGTATCAGGTAGAAAGAATCAAAATAATAAAATAGAGTCATCGGGCGTTCATCAAACTTACCTGACGCTTGGAGAATGTTCCAACAGCATGTCGAGCTAATGTTCTCTGGACTGCTACGTGCTAAGAATGAGAACGGGAAGTGCAGCTATCTCCTGTTGTGGATCGGGGAAAAAGGACGAGATGTATTTAATACGTGGACACTTACAAATGCAGAGGCAAAGGTATGAACATTTATGAGGAATATGTCATGCCCAAGGCAAACCCGATTTTTGCTAGATACAAATTTCAAGAAAAGCTACAAGGTGTTAGCGAGTCCTTCAAGCATTTTGTTACCGAGTTAAAGTTGCTAGTTAGACTGTAACTATCCAAATAGTGATGAGATGGTTAGAGATCAAATTGTTTTTGCTATGAACTCACCTAAAGTGCGTGAAAAGCTATTGAGTCATGGCTCATCAGATTTGACTTTGGAAAAAGCCATAGACATTGTACTAGCACAGGAACAGTTGAGGACCAAAATATGTGGAAATTGTGGGAGAGAACACAGTGACAGTGAGGAAACTAAGCCTAAGAGATTAAGGGCGGACTGAAGATGGC